TGAACTGCAGAACTGCAGTCAGCTGAAGTAGCCTGCAGTGCTGCATTTAACCACTGCGCCACCTCGGCTACCTATAAGCAATCAAATCATACTAGGAAACAATCGATATAAATTGTAAGCAACAAAGTTACAATCACACAAAGTGGTAGGAGATGGTGATAGGAACAATGAGAAGATTAATAGTAATAGTAATGCAGACTTAGTAAATAGTTCGACAGTGCTGAGGGAATTAGAAAATGCCTCCTGATTAGTTATGATCAAGTTAGAGATACTTATCTTGACCCAATAGCAGTTGTAGGTTAAAATAAGTGGGATCAATCTTCCTTTTATTGTAGGTACTCTACCATCCCGAATATTTTGAATGAAACGAGGGGCCCTTGGTGTTCTCTGAGCTTGCTTGTTTTCTTGCAGATGTTTCATTACCAAAACTAGGTAACATCCTCAGTGCTAGTGAGGTGTAGAGTTTGCTGTCAGTTTATATTCTGCACTCCTCCCTAGCACTGATGACGTTACCTAGTTTGGATACTGAAACGTCTGCAAGAAAACAAGCAAGCTCAGAGAACAGCAAGGACTTCTCATGTCAACCCTGAGCTGCAAATATTCTTCATTTGAATGAAATGTTTTTTTCAGTATCCTGTTATATAAAGAACAAAAGAGCACAGCAGCTCTGTGGGTAAACAGTACCCTTCTGATATATTTGCTTTTGTGTGCAAGACAGGTTGAGTTCTATATCTACGAAACCTGCCATATATCATTAAAATGCTTAACCTAAGAACAGCAATGTTGTTTTCAAAGATAGAAATATATAATTTTGAATATCCATTTACAACCATTCGTTTAGTGACTATTCAAAGTTACAATGGTACTAAAAGTGACTTCTGACCATTTCACACTTATGACTCTGCATGTGATCAAGTGCTCATGTGACCACGTTCAAAATTTGCACACTTGACAACTGGCATGTATTTATGAGGTCATGTGATCACCTTTTGTAACCTTCTGAAAAACAAAGTCAAAGGGGAAACCAGTTCACTTAACAACCATGTTACTAACATAACAACAGCAGTGATTCACCTACAACTCTGGCAAGAAAGGTTGTAAAATGAAGAAAAACACATTTAACACAACTGTCTTGCTTAGCAATGGAAATGTTGGGCTCAGTTGTGGTTTTAATTTGAGGACTACCTGTACTCACGAAGTTTATTTCAGTGTTTATCAAATTTGGCAATTTTAAGACATGTGGACTTCAACTCCCAGAATTCCCAGCCAGCTGGGAATCTTCAATCCTGGGAGTTGAAGTCCATACATCTTAAAGTTACTAGATTTGACAAACGCTGGTTTATTTAAAGAAAATCCCCAAATGGAAGGTTATTATTATAAATAAATTTAGCCGTAAGCTATGATGTGGTTTCAGAAACTGTTTAAAATATTACCCAGGTGGACCAGTGTAACAAACAGAGTTTTCAGACATTTTAATTTCCAAAGTGTTATTCTCAATAGTTCTTGCAGACAAAAAATAGAATCAGCTTTTCAGATGCAGCCATTGGATTAAAGAAAATGTGTTTTATCTTGGTAAAGATTTGATGTTTCTTAAACAGTCCATTTCATTCCAGTTAGGTCCTAATTTCACACAGGAGTGAAATTGCATTCACTGTTGTAAGATTTACATCCAGTTAATAAATGTTTCATTGAGTTACTCATTTATGAATAGCAGGACTTTCTCCTAAGTATTATTTTAGGGAGATGGTGTGTCCCACAATACAGTATTGTTTTACTGATATACAGTATACAGTATTGTTTTACTGATAAGAAATCTCATTACATTGTCTTAGCAAGGATCCAAAAATCTGAAGTAAATGTAATCTCATGCATCGCTTAAACTTCAAAAGTAGCAAAGTGGAAATGGAAGAGAAAGTGATGATATACCCATATAGAAACTTATGACAGGACAAAAATAAAATTCATTAGCGTGATCTACAAAAGTGTTATGCAGAAAATAACAATAGATTCTTTGTTTTATTAGTGCCTTCTATTTCACTAATAGTACGTAAGAATGCAATATATATATATATATATATATATA